ACGTTAACCTTCTTTATTAAAAAATGTCAAATATCGCAAAAAAAAGCCATTTTTTTAAGTATTAAACCTCAATTATCTTGGAAATCCGACGTGCTAAAATTTTTTCTCTTGCGGCATTGTTTTCAGCATCCAAAAATCCATAAAAAACACGTAGTCTGGTCCAAAATCATTTTTTGCTGTAAACTAGTGCAATTAATGGCTAGCAATCTATTGTAATAATCGTTTGTTCTTTGCTGAAGAAAGCTAAAAGATTAGCCGAAACGTGTACTTTTATTTTTGATATAAAACTGTTTTTAAAAAACAAACTGCGCACCATCGACAACGCCTATTTCCCAGTTGCATGTTTTTTATTTATTTATTATTCATTTGTTATCTCGGGAATTTATGAGTCAATTCTAAGCAGAATCGTAAGACTCATAACATGTTCTCGTAAAACTTGTATGAACTTATGACTAGTATTCTAATTTTATGCGTATATATCGTAAGACATACGATTATTCGTAAATATCCACGATTTCTTATAAATTTTGTAGCTAGTAAGAATAAGATATCTGTAAAAATATTGTATAAAAGTATAAGCATTTAAAAATTCTTACAAGTTTTACAGGAATATGTTACGACCTTTACGATTCTGCTTAGAATTTAGGCATTAGTTTAACATTGTTACCTTGTTAATATAAACATTTACAGACTGTGATGATTATCACTATTATTAGGGATAAAGATATATTTCAATCACAAGAAATAATCACTGATTGTTCACTTTTTATTTTGATTGGTTTATTGATAAATAAACAATATTAACTGAAAATCGACCAATGAGATTGAACATACATAACTGACAAATGTTCTATTCGGTCAAGACTGTTCTTCGTGCCTAATAACATTTCTTGTGTATTTATACAATTTCCAGTTCAAGCAAACTGCATGCTGATTATTTATCAGTCTTGAAACGCAGTCCTAAACCGTAGCTAGAGTGCTCCATCGGATTGTGTTTCAAGACCGACAAATAATCGGCACATAGTTTGCTTGAATTGAAAATTGTATAAATTCACAAAAAATATTGTTAGGTACGAAGAACCGTCTTGATCGAATATGGTATTTTTCACTCATGCATTGATAAATAAGTTTAATGTAACGTAATTATAAAAGTATACAGCTATTAAATTAGTCAATTAGTTTCAAAAAATATAACTAAGTTAAGTTACAGTTATGGATGTAAAAGAGGAACGAACTAAAGTTATAATTATTGAAAAAAAGTAACCCTAACTGTAACTTCGTTGCAAGTAATATGATTTACTTTCCGACTCAGTATTTAATTGTATACTATAAAGTATACAATTAAAACCATAATATGATTTACTGAAATGTTTGCGATACTCACAAAGTTTTTTTGTCAAATGTTGTTTTTAGATTCGGTTCGAGATTCGATTCAAGATTTGGCTTTGCTCGATTTGAACTTCAGCTCGAGATTCAGCTTCATAATCTGGACGCACTTTTTTATGATGTAATCATCCGAAAATTAAATAAATGGAATTGTTGGCCGGTTATCACTTCTAAATATCTCGATATCAGCCATTTTCATACTTTTAAAATGCACTGCATTTAAAGATTTACACACACGAACACGTAGCGTACCTAATGCAACTAGAGCTCCGCGAGAGGAAGGATCCGCAATTTCGCCTAAGTAAAGTGAGAAGCAGCTGTACGTCTTTCCTAGACTGATGCCAGCTAGTAACCTGGCTACATGCAACCACTCCATTCGATTAGCCACAATTATAAAGAGCCAACAGAGAGTTATTGGCAAACTCGTTATGAAGACCGTTGTTTTAGCACCGAGATAGTTAACGGCAACAGAACCAGAAATGGCGCCAATTAGCCTGCCTAGGTTCAATAAAGAAACTACCCAGGAAGCTTCGTCCATTGTCATGGGGATGTGAGATTCGGATGAAGTCAGATATGCGATGTACGGTGAGCTCCATAACGATATCAATCCCATTTGTAATAGCAGAAGATTGACTGAAAATCACAAAGTTATTAGTTGTTACTTATATTTATATACGGTCTAAAATAAAGACTCTTAATATTATTTATGTTTATATTTTTAATGTAGATTATTTTCTTTGTACATTATACATAAAGTCAAGTAAATATTTTTTTCTCATCTATGAATATCAATATATTTTTAAAAATAGATTAAAATATTTTGATCAATATATTTTATCGATATTGTATAGAATGCATACCTCCGATACCAGCAATCCATTGAGGCCATTGTACTTTTTTAATTTTCTTTTTATCTGTCTCAGGATCCATCATACTCTTTCTGTTGACTGCCTGTTACTGAGCCTTCGCAGGAAATATCTACGCTCCTCTCTATAGGAAAAGCAACGAATCTTAAAAGTTGTTCTACGTTCTTGGGAATGACAAATAATAATTGATGAATAATGCAAATAATGACGCATTGAATACCATTTCATTCGTAGAACTGTAGAACTAGTGATTTCTTATCATTTTTCATCACAGTCATTATTTAAATTATCTACACTGAAAAAAAATAGTCAATTACGAAAAGAACATATACGAAGGTCGTCTGAAAAGTTTTGAGCCTCATCATGAAGGTGGCGTTACTTCTCAAAGCCATTCTGGTATTATAATCGTGACATTAGGTGTTAAACTTAATTCCTGCCGTTTTTCGCCTCTAAAATTGATTTGTTTCAAAGGGAAATACCTTAATCAAAGTATTATTAATAAAGTGTTATTAATTAGTAATAAAGTAGAAAATGGACGAAATTACTTTGATTAAGGTATTCATTCATCTTCCCTTCGAAACAAATCAATTTTGGAGACGAAAACGGCAGGAATTAAGTTTAACACCTAATACTTACGAAAGATATCTGTGACAATTGTGGCCACTTTGGACGTTCAGTTCTTGTTCGACAATTATTTGTGTCGTCATTTCGTAAAAATGGAAAAAATTGAATATCGTGCTATAATTAAATTCTTGCATTTGAAAGGCAATACGTCTACACAAATTAAAGCCGAGTTGGACGCTGTTTACGGGGACTCTGCCCCATCATTTGCCACCGTGAAAAGATGGGTAGCTGAATTTAAACGTGGTCGTACCAGCATAGCTGATGATGAGCGTCCGGGACGGCCAACAACTGCGACCACCATCGATAACATCGAAGAAATTCAAATGATAATAGACAACAGTCAAATTAAGATTAGGGAGATAGCAGAGGCTGTTGGCATATCAGAAGAACGTGTTTGTCATATATTTACTAAAGAATTAGACATACGTAAGTTAACCGTGCGTTGGGTGCCGCGCTTGCTCACTCTGGATCAAAAACGAATTCGAATGAACATTTCTAAGGCCCTGTTGGAGCGGTTTAAGCGAAACGAGTCGGATTTTTTGCGCCGATTAATAACGGTTGATGAAACTTGGGTCCACCACTTCACTCCTGAAACGAAA